CCTCCCTCCTCCGCCGCCGCCTCTGCCTCCGGCACCGAGCGGCCCGGCCGGGACTGCAGCCACGCCCCCCGCGCCGGCGTGCCCACGCACAGACGTGCGGCCAAGGCGCTGAGCTGCGGCAGTTTGGGACGAGCCGCTCGCCGTAGTGCGAGATAACTCGCCGGGAGAGCGGCACCTGCAGATTCGTGTGTGGAACATGAAAGGCAGGCGGGGGGCTCTGTCGATTCTTTCCCGCAGATTCGCGCCCTGCTTGGGGAGGGGGAAGGAAGCAGAGTCGTTATCAAGCCGGAGGGTGGCACAGGGGAGCTGGCAGTAGGGTTGTGTCCACCCTTCAGGATGGCCTTGGAGTCTGCAGGATTTAAGAAATGAATCCCCCGGAGACTGGCGGGAGATAAATGACAGGGCTTTTCTTAAAATGTTGAATCCGATTTGTGCAGTAGTCAAGTGGGGTTTTAAAAGGTAATAGCGATGTGCATGTGCTTTCCGGATGCACCGTAATCGGTAACTGATATCCGTGGGTACGTCCATGTCATGTGTCGCGGGCACAGCGGCGGTCCAGCAACCTCCTGCAATAGATGCAAACAGAGTTGGCAACCCTGCCTGGCAGGCACGTGCCCATGTGGCGTGGCAGAGGCAGCCCTCGCTGCAGGTCCAAGCATCCCAAAAGCATAGGTCAGGCCCGGCTGGGCCGGCAGCCTCTCATGGACCCGTGGGCATTGGTACTTGCTGCCCCCTTGGCCCGTGCGGGAGGCCACGAGCTGACGCCTGATGCACATGTGATCCCAGCTCCGCACTGCCTTCGGTCTCACCCACGTACTGGGCGCGCGTGTGACCCAGGGTAGAGGGAGCGCGGTGCACTGCTACAGCTACCCCAGTGCCCGGAGAGGCTCTGCTCTGGGCCTGATCCTGGTTACTCAGGCCTAGGAGCATCCTGGCATTTCAGAAGCTGCTGCCTTCAAGGGCCACGGCCAACCCATGCTGCTGGGAGTGCTCGTGCCCAGCCATGGGGGAGGGCCTAAGGAAACTTTTGCACCATTTGGGAATTGACTGTAGGGTAGGATGGGCCACCCACACCTTCTGCAGAGACTGCAGCCGCTTGCCCCTGCGGACCCCTGCGTTTTGGCAGGACTTCAGTTCAGGGCCCATGGCTGCTTAGAGACAAATGAAGCTTAGCAAGTTAGGGCTGCTATGCAAACTGAAGGAAGATGTGAAATGTAGTCAGAGTATCAACACTGCACTGGTTTGAGCTGCATTGTTTCTGTTCTGTTAAAATGGCCTGCTAGGAGCTGTTATCTCAGGGAACCACAGTTACTTGGTGTCTCGGACGACCAGGGCCGACTCGAGTTATGCTCGTACGTCAGGGCGGACTGGTGAATGGAGAGGCTGACACAACTTATTGGTTGTAAAAAACTTTACTCACGCCGCTTGCAATCACGACGCAGGTGGTCCGGTCGTCGGAACAACCACATGAGTTGCTCCAGCTGGCGGGGCCCAAGCCAGTTAATCCGTCCGCAATTCAAAGCCGGCGGGGAAAGGGGGACGTCGGGGTTGCGCTCGGTGACGGGAAGAAAGATCGATAGGTCTATCGCTCGGCAGCCGCAAGTCAGATAACTTCAGAGACCCTCTGCAGCGTGCTCAAAGCTCTTCGACTTGGGCGGAAGCCGCGCGGAATTTTAAACGGCCAGTGAGCCAATTACTAGCCGCCACGTGTGAATAATTTAGCACTAGCCAATAGCGGGGCACAAATTTGCATCCGAATAGCGGGAACTCTTTGCACCGTGCATCTCTATGCTGCAAAGAAGAAATGCATCCTGCAAAGGAAACTGCAAATTGGCGGGAACTCTCCTGCACGCAGGCTCTCAATTGCAGCAGAACACTGCTGTGCAAAGGAGCTCTCATGTGGCCAGGAAATTCCATAGTGCCGAGGCACAAAAATCACTGGGTCGTGACACTTGGGACCAGATGCACAGTTCCTCAGAAACGTACAAGTCTAGACAGGGGTTTAGGTTGTAGCCGTGTTGGTCTAAGGACATGGGCAGACAAGGTTCCTTGGGTGAATTTGATATCTTTTATTAGACCAACCCAAATAGTTGGAGAATATTTATTAAGCAAGCTTTCGGGTTCAAAAACCCTTCATCAGGCTAAGGAAGTTTCAGCAGTTGGTGCGTGCTCTTCCAGGATGGAATGAAAAGTCTAGACATGCATTCACTCTAGACTAAATGCAAACCTGCCTGGTGAGAGGGTGTTCTCTCTAGTTCATAACAGGTGAACTGTCAGGGCTAGATGGATCATTGCATGATAAAAGCTGTCATCGCAGAGCAGTAAGGCCAGCTGATTTCAGATCTCTATGTCAAAATCTTGCATGCAGGAAATGCTTGTCTCTAAAAGCTACAACCAAACAGAGCCAGATGGAGCTTTGCAGACTGGCGGCTGTCATTACCGGGGCCATAGTCACTCAGGTAATACATCAGCACCTGTTGTCTGTGAGGACTATGTTACTAAGCCCTGAACTGTCATATCCAGAGCTTACAGTCAGTCAGGACCCAGTGGTGGGAGTTGCCATATTAAGGGGCCAAGATCACAGCTGCTTAAAGTCAGATGAAGTGTTGTACGACAGAAAGTGTTGTCTCCAGGGATTATGGCCTGTTGGGGTCCAATGAGGTATTACCAGTATTAAGATTGGAAGCTCTTGTTTCTAGGGGGTTGTCCTTCTCAGGCATGATGTCTCTTCTAGGATACAGAATCTCTGTAAGCCATAGAGCTCAGGTCATGGTGCGACGTGGCACTGGGGTATAAGTTCTCTTTACTTGGTTCCAAACATTGCGGCTGTGTAAAGAGAGTCTGGCATGTCAACTTTGCTCTGTTACATCTATGGGCTACTCAGACCAAGATGTACTAAAGGCTGATGCTTGTTGTTTTCATGCACTAGGTTCAAAACAAGATGGGGGCTTGGTACATACTATGATGAAGGATGGACATGACAGACCTGTCATCTCCACAGGCTGTATTTTACTACCTGGTAGTCAAACTGAATGTCAGACTAAAACCTGTACTGTAACCTGTACAGAAAGGCTACTGCGAAGTAAAACTCTTATCATCTCTAAAAGACTGCTGTACCTTTGTAATCCCTACCCAGGCCCTTGGGAAAAATATCATCTTACTCAGAACATACAGTAATGTGAGAGTGGTGTTGTAGCCATTGTGGTATAGAAATTATATGAGAGTCAAGGATTGCTTGGATTGCTATCTTTAATTAGATCAACTGCATGATTTCTTATCACCCTAAGAAAGACTTGTCTCTCACAGAATATATGGGTATTTTTAGAATTCCTTCCTGGTTGCAGATAGATCATCTGGCAACCCATCAACACCACTACCACATCTGTCTGTACCATCCTCAGCAACACAATGAGCACAACTGACTTCCTGGGGCTGCTTCTTTATTTGAAAGGAAAGTTTTGCATTTTCTGCTTACCATCATATCTTCAAAACTGATCAGAATAAGGGCCAAGGAGGACAATGGTTGAAAGATGCTCAAGTAATTGCTGAACCAGATGTAAAAGTGCACACATTCTGCACATGAAGGAGGATGCACTTTTTCTAAATTTGTGTGCTTCCCTCAATGATCTACCCTGGAACTTATGAAAATTTTGGGTCTGATTCTTACCTCATTTTTGCTTGGGTCACTCCACTGATGTTGGTGAGGTTATATCAGGAGCTGTGGAAGGATAATCAGGCCCACTGCCTGTCAAGATCTGTTATCCCCTTTCTTGTGCAGCAGTATAGGTGACTGAGTCATAGCCTTTTTTGATAGAGGGGGTACCCAGGAAACTGCAACTGGATGCAGAAATAACCAGTATCTGCCTAATGGGGACTCCAAAGTCTCCAGTCTCTTGGATTTGTCTTACACTAGGGTTGGGCAACCTTCAGCCCACATACCACAAATGGCACAGGCAGCCTCTGTGTGTGGCACACAACAGACGGGGGAGAGGATAGACAGGAGATCAGTAGATAGTGCAGAAAGTAGAGCAGCAGATCAGGCAAAGATTACAGGGCAGAAAGTAGAGAGTAGAGCAACAGATCGGGCAGGGAAAGGGGATCAGAATGGCACTTGGAAAGGGTGCAGAGCTAATTCAGGGCACTCCTGTCAAAAAAGGTTGGCCCTCACTGTTCTACACCTGTGTATCTCCCTGGGTTTCAACAGTAATTCTTGATATATACTGGTGTGAGTGAAGCTTTGCAAAGGTAAAAAAAAGATGGACCAAAAGATGGAATTGGATCAGCACTGAAAATTATACAAGTGTTTTGCACATCTCAGACTAGCCCACGCAGAATCATTATTGGGACTGCTGATCAGCTGGCTGCTCCAGACATTGTTGAAAGATTGAAAAAGATACATTTGCATTTTTTAATATAGTGCTGGGTTTTGATGCTAAGATCCGGAGGTTTGAAAAACCTACCCAGTGGAAAAATGACATCAGGCAAATGTAAGTTTGACATTGTAGCTTAAGGTAGTCTGATTCTGTTACTCACGTAGACCAACTGTGTACTAAAAATAAAAGCGATTTGGCTAAGATGAATTCAGTGATCCATCTTGCTTGTTCTTTTTCCTGTTGCGTATTTCAGTGGAAAAATACAACCCCTCTTTTTTACACTGCTCTGATCTTACAAAATCTCTCCCGTTTGGGACCCAATGTAAGCAAAAGGTTTCACAGGCATATGTTTTCTGGTGTAGTCCTAGATTTGCAAAACTGAAGATGTTAAGTCCAGATGGCCACTGAACAGGGTCTTTTAAATCCACTCCAACTTAGGCCTCCATTTGATTTTTCTGGCTGTTCTCCAGGTAACTTAGTAACTGGCAGAGAGAGAAATTCTGTTATAGAATTTTGATGGCAACAGGAAATAGCTGTGTCACTGTTTTATGGTTTCAGGAAAATCCACCCACAGGTCAGTTTTGGATTGAAAAGAATAAAGAAATGGGAAAGACTATGGCAGACTGAGATTGCAAATGTATTTTATAACCTCTCTACAATGGAAAAAGAAGAGAAGGGTGTTGCAGACATCTCCTCCACGACAGCTCCCACTGGACAGAACTAATTCTAAAATGTGACCTGTAAAGAAGAAGAAATTGAGTTTGTGCCTCCTTATAAGGTATAAACAGAGCCCAAAAAACTTGCTCATTAGTTGGGGAAATGCCTGGATTCCTCTTAAATTCTTGTTTTTACTGTTTTACATTAGGATGTTCATGGGAGACTATATGAAGAACCTAACAGAGTTATGCTGCTTAACTAGAGGTTTTACTTGCTTGTTCTGAGTTGGGAAGTAGCTGACTTGGAAGAAAAAAAAGTCTTTTTTAAGGATTCAGCATCACATATCTTTCAATTACAGGTAGAGAAAACACCCGTTCTGTCTTCCAGCTAAAGCCATTTGCCTCTCTGATGAGAAAGAAAAGATTGTTTTTATAATCGCAAAAAAATACCCCTCCATCAGGCCTTTTTTCTGTATAAAATAACAGCACGAGGGGGCACCATGTATCTCTTTCCTTCATGGGTCACCTTGAAAAGAGTATTGAAAACATTGCTGCTGCTGCCATCCATCTTTTATGTCCTGGTCCTTCAAAGACTTAAAAATGTTCTCAATGTTATGTAGTATGGGAGGTTTGCTATTGACTTCCATAGGGCCAGGGATTCACCTTGTCAATGTTTTAACCAGCCAACTGCATCAAGCTAAGTATGTGCCATAGGCGCTGACTTTAATTTTTGCTGGGGGGGTGTGTTAAGACAATGGCCCCCCACCCCTGGCGTCACGACTGGAGCAGAGCTGAGCAGGGCCACTGCGGGGCAGGGGCAGATGCGGGATGCCGACTGCAGGCTTGGGGCTCCCCACCCTGCTGCCCTCCTGGGAGCCCTACCCCAGCAGCGCCGCCATGGCAAGATGCCCCCTGCCCACCCAGCAGCAGCAGGGGGCACGGGTCCAGGCCACTGCCCCCCGCCCCACTGTTGGTGGGCAGGCAGGGGGTGCCTTGTCATGTCATGTGTGGCCAGCACAGGGCTCCTGGGCTGGGGGGGGAAGGAGGGCAGCAGGGCAGGAAGCTCCAAGGCTACAGTGGACAACCCACATCCACCCCCACCTTGCACACGAATCTAGGGGGCATGTCCCCCACATGCCTCCCACCCTGAGAGTGTGCACACCAGCAGGGAGCCATTACCCTGCTCCCTGAATGAGACGCCTGTGGCCCTGTCCCACTCTCTGCCTTGGCCCTGGGTCCCATGTACTGCGCGGGCTGAGCAGCACCCCTAGGTCCAGCCCCTGACCCACTGTCTCCCTCATCATGGGGGCCTCAATCTGACTCCCCAGGGATTTACCTGCCTGCAACTGGGAGAGCTGCTCTCCACCACTGCCTGGGGCTGTATTTCTGGCCACGTGCATGTGTACACATACACACATGCACATGGCACCCCTTGCTCCCTGCAGCCCCTTGCAGGCTAGAACTCTTCCAGCCTGCAAGGGGAAACCTGCCATTTCCTATGGTGAACAGAAAACCTGGATCCCTGCACGATACTAGGAATCCAGGACAAATGCTGCCCTGGAGTCATGGAGCCCTGGGCCAGGACTTGATGTTCCCATTTCAGGACTGTCACACCCAATTAGGGACAGGTGGTCACTCTTCCCAAGAGGGGTTAGGGCCCTTGGGCCCCCATGTACTCAGCACCTATGGCATGTGCATAAGTCCTTGCAGCTGGATTGCAACAGACTAGTAACATGCTCATTTCAGTCATGTATCAGTTTGCTGCAGCGGGAACTTGGGGACAGCTCAAACTTAGGGAAACATGTAGCCTGTAATGAAAGGTAAGGGGTCACAGTTGTGGTGTATATTAAAGTGCTAAGCAAGCATGTCCAAGGAAAACATCTTGCACAGACCCCCTCTATGCATGGGCAGTACAGTGTGCATTTAAATGCATAGACTTGGGGTTGCAAAAGCCTGTGCCTTTACCCAAAATATGTTTTTCTGAACCTAAGTGATGGTCATTGAGTAGCCCAGCACTGTCAGTGCTGTGCTATTAGTAGCTACAACACTGATTAGCTGCCACCATTTCCAAGGCTTCTCATTATCTGTTTAGGGGCTCCTGTGAAAATGCTGGGAACCAGACAGTTTCAGCACTACTTTTGGAAGGCTGGATATGAGGAGCTAGGAGCCCTCAGACTGGCTAACTATGTCCCAATAGCAGGCATGACACTAACCAACTGAGGTGAACTTCAAGGTTTCTACGTGCAGTCGTTTGAGTGCTTCCCCTTTGCCATTTCCGGTGCCAGTTCTGAAGTTAAATGGAGTACAGCTAAGCAAAACAGATGGTGGAACTGAAAGATGCCACACGCATAAATTGTTTATGCACACACAAAGATGCAGACATCCAGTTTCTGTTATAAAGTAAGCTGGGGTGCCCAATCAGGCACACTTCACAAGTGACACAGGCAGCCTCTGTGTGTGGCACACAGCAGATCAGAGACGGAGCAGACAGCACAGCAGCAGGGAGCAGAAAGCAGGGCAGCAGATCATACAGGAGAAGGGGATCAGAGTGGCACTTGGAGAAGGTGAGGAGTGAATTTGTGGCTCTCCTGCCAAAAAGGTTGGCCCCCACTGAAGTAAGCAATAGGCAACTATAGGGACTGGCATTGTGTTATGCACTTAAGTGAGCTGTGCATTTACCTGCTATGCACTTCAGTGGAGTGTATTCTCACATTCCCACTACTGCTCAAAGCTGTTCAGTTCTACATTTACCAGATGTGAAACCTGCTCTGTTCTCTTGTCCAGGCTAAAGTATTAGTTGTTCTAGGATGCTGGGGAGAATGGTTATTAACGCATTTTTTACCACCATTCAATTTCGTGAGGGAGATAACTGCAGATGGAAGCAGCATCAAATACATAATAATAAAAAAACCCCTGCCACTGATTTTACTAGGAGCAATCTCAAGCACCCATAGACCAAGCATTGCTTCAGGATTAAAAAAAGAGTGTGCTCTGAAGAAAGAATGTTTGCATTATGAAAAATGTTGCTGCAGTATACCCTTTTATTATAAAAAAAAATCATTATTCTTCTATGGCACGGTATTCTGGCTTTTCGCAAGATGTTTGATTACAACAAAATGCAATCAAGGTATCACACTCGGTTCCATCATTTGGATGCATTCCCCCGCCCACTGTAGAGCATCCATACAGATAAACATGTAACCCTAATAATAAGCTTAAATCAGAAAGAGCTTGCATGCTGTTTCTGAGGTATTATGCAAGTTCCATCTGTAGATGGGAAAACATAATTGTACTTCGGCCAAAAAGCTGAGAGAGTCATTGTGTGAAAATGACTGCTACTTGTTCAATAACAGTGAACTGGCAAATGACCATCTATTGTTGCTTAAAGCACTTAAACTCATAATAAATTTACAGGAAACATTCAGAAATGAAGCAGTGGGACCTAACAGCTGATTTATTCAAGACACTGTGGGACAGCAAGCAAAATAACTGCCCATGTTTGGCTTCAAATGCTCCATGAAAACTGGTTGTTCCTAGCTTCAGACAGATCAGAGAACCCTCCAGAAATAATGCTGTTCATGTACAAATACAGCTTGCTTCCTCCTTTTTATACCAACTGGATATTTTGTCAAGGGCTTCATTCTAATCTCAGCTGCATAAGTGTAAATCCAGAACTCCATTAAAGTCGATTTGGATTTAGATTGATGATTCTAAAAATGTAGCATAAGTGGTATCAGGGCGTGAGCTTCAGTTCATTCCAATGGTGGTATAGATACTTTATAATACATACACATGATCAGACCTTAAGGGACACTGGCAACAAAATCCATGCTTCTGTTCATATTACCACATAGCTTTTATTTTTAGGGCTGTCAATTAATTGCAATTAACAGGCACGATTAACACATTAATAATTGTTCGAGTTAATTTTTTTAACACGTTAATCGTGCACATGGTTTTGGAGCCCACACCTGGGCTCCACTCCACCACCTCTGGGCCATCCTGTGGGGTGGTGGTTGCAGCACAGAAGACCACAGGGCTGCCCAGGCATGGGCTTTGGGCAGCTGCAATAGGGGAAAGAAGGGCACACACAGAGACAGACACAGACACGCAGCCGCAGCCTACAGGTGGCCAGGAACGCAGCCTAGCAGCATGTGGAGCAGCACCCAGCAGGCAAGTCTATGAAGGGGACGGGGAAGTGGCATGGGGGAAGAAAGGGGTGTGGGTGGGCGAGCAAATTGAGGCCCCACAATGACAGAGGGAGTGGGGCAGGGGCTGGGGTGAATGGGGCCCCGGGGCCAGGGCAGGTCATGGACAGAACCATGGGCGGCTTGTCCAGGGGCACAATGGGGCTCCCACTGCTGCATGCACCCTGGGGGAGGCATGGAGGGCATGTGTCCCACGGATTTGCTGTGCCTCCTGCTGCTGGGCGGGCAGGGGATGTGGTGCAATCAGTGCGCAGTTCCCAGGGCAATGGCAGTGGGGCACAGAGCCTCATCCCACAGAGGCAACCTGCCTCCGCCTTCTGCACAAATCCAGGGGGCATGTGCCCCCCCCCCGCCTCCCCCAGGGTCCACGCAGCTGTGGGAGCTCTCCCACTCCCCTGGACGAGCCACCCGCAGCTTCATCCCACACCTCACCCCATATCTGGGGCCCCATACACTCCAGCCCATCTCTCCCCACTCTCTCCCTCACCGTGGAGGCCTCGATCTGCGCCCCCTGCCCCTTCCCCCCCATGCCCTTTTCCCTCACAGGCTTACCTGCTGGGCAGTATCTGTGTGTGTGTCTGTCTCTGTGTGTCTGCCCCTCACTCCCAAGCTCCAGCCCCCCAGCCCTGCTGCTGCCCCTCACTCCTCCCACACTACCCCACACCCTGCCAGGGTATGTGGGACCCCCCCCCCCTGGGCTCCACCCCCCCCCACACACACACCCACACCACAACCCCCCCACACCTTCACAAATTCCCCCCCACCCCCAACCATAAAGTACCTGCATAATTTTGCATACCTTTGAGTTTTTCTGAGCATAATTTTGAGGTTTTAGCTGTGCAATTAAAATTGTTATTAATTGCAACTATTTTTTTAATTGCACAACTAATCATGATCAAATTTTTAAATCATTTGGCTTAAAAAATTACTTTATATCCATTATATCCTACTTACTTTATATCCCTTTTTGTAGTTTTTAACATTAACTCAAAGAATCATAGAAAGGTTCTACACATTTTTACATGGCTTGCAATTGAGGAAATTAATTATGCATTTGGGATTTGGAGCGTGATCTTCATAGATGAGATGAGATGAAAGATTGCAACAAGTTAATCCATTGTACGAGTGAGAACAGTTTCTAGCACAGTGAATGGTGGTTGTACTCACTCATGCCAGAGGTGAAGTTGTCTCATGATGGTTGTTTTTATTCACTTCTTTTTTTATCAGTATGCCATTTTTAGTGGAGAAAGATGTGCAGGGATTAAGGCATAAGCACTCCTTGATGTATGAAAAGGCTCCTCTGCACACCAGGGAGAATGTAGTGGGAGGATCAGAAAGGTCCTTTGGAAGATCAGATCACAAGCAAGAACTGGCAGTTGGGGTGCACAAGTCGGGAATAAGCTTGCACCAGGTGCCCCTGCCCTGTGTTAGAAGAGTTTGTTTAATAAAGGAGAACAGATGGGGAACTGGGGCGGAGGTGGCTGACATTCTTGTTTGTGATGATGTTACAAGTTTGTGAATTGCTGGGGGGGGAACATTTCAGAGAAAACTGATGGTGTTGGAAGTGCTCTTGATGCAAAACAGAGTACTTGGGGAAATGCCTGGATGGCCCAGAAAGCCTGCAGTAGTCACTTGTATCTGAGAACAGAGATGAGACTTGAACTGACCTGGTTCTTCTGCCATGAAAGTTAGTGGGGCAGATCCTCAGCTAATGTAAATTGTCATAGCTAGCTGCTGCACTGAAGTCCATCTATCCCTGAGAGTATTGCCATTAACTTCACTGGGAACAGAATGAGACCTAAATTTAACTTCACAATGGCCTGCAGATCCAGGCTGCTTGTATACGCCATGGGGGTTTAATTCAGTTTAGTTCTCCCTAAGTTTTTAAAAAACCCACCGTTTCCACTTAGGGAGAATTAAACCGAACTAAACCCCTGTTGTGTGTACACAAGGGGGGGGGTCCATTCCTTCCCTGCCTCTCTGGCAGGCTCTGGGAGATAAAAAAAGAAAAGTTCAGGGTCCTCGCTGCTTTTTTTTCCCTTCAGTCGAGCCTGCCTGCACAGGCTGCCGTCAGGTTGCACAGCAGCAGGAAAAGGAGGTGGGGACGGTGCAGGGGCCACTGGAAGCCTGCCAAGCCCCGAGCACATCGCTTCCAGTGCCCCATGCACTGTTGCTCTTTGTTAGGTAGCAAACTGAAACACCTCAGAGGTGTTTTATCTTGCTATGCTCCAAAGTAATTTGAAGTGGAATACACTGCTGAGCGTGCAAACAGCAACACCATTAAAGTGGAACAAAAGGGCATTTAAGCTGTTCTAAAGGCCAATTTTGTTTAAAGGCATGGACAAAGGTCCCCAGAAGACAGGTCATTTTAAAGCAGCCCTGTTTGTTCCAATTTGTCTTGCTCATGCCACTCAGTGATTTGTCCTTGTGGATGCAAATACGTACTTCGTGTCAGTGCACATTAAGTCAGAGTACTGTGGCCATTTCAATTTTTCCTCTAGTCATGTAGTCTATGGTAGCCTCAGGCACTATTGGGTAGCTCATGATAGCATGATTAAAATGCAAATCCATGTCCTTAATTTACATACATCCTTGCTCTGAACCGAAGCAAAATAGCACAGCCACTTTTGGCTTCAGAACTGGTGTTACCAGGCGGGCCTTGTGTTCTTGGACCATGACCCGCATTTCTGCACAGAGGACATGCTCGGGAAGGACAGGCTTCATCTCTCTCCAAAAGGCAAACGCATTTTTTCTTCCAGGCTGGCTGATCTTGTACGGTGAGCTTTAAACTAGGTTTGCTGGGGGACATGGACGCAGAGGAACACGAGGACACTTTGCCGTCGAGCCAACTGACGTGCACAGGTAGTACCCAGGTAAGTGACAGGGGCCAGGGCAGATTTAGGAACAAGGGGGAAGCATGGGCACCTACAGGAGGCCTCAAATGCCTCTACACAAATGCTCGAAGCATGGGGAATAAGCAGGAGGAACTTGCCCTCCTGCTAGCTAGCAAAAACCCAGACCTAGTGGGGCTCATGGAAACCTGGTGGGATTCTACCCACGACTGGGCAGTGGACATCCAGGGTTACAGGCTGTACAGGTGAGACAGAGCAGGGAAAAGAGTGGGGAGTGTAGGGCTATACCTCACAGAGCAATACACGTCCTCAGTGATCAGCATGGGGTCGGAGGAGGGGCAAACTGAGGCGCTCTGGGTAAGAATGCAAGGGGGGCATGGGGAAAGGGACTTGATAGTGGGTGTCTACTATAGACCGCCTTACCAGGGGGATGAGCTGGACCTGGAATTCTCAGGTCAGCACACAGAGGCTGTAAAGTCAAGGGATGTCATTGTCATGGGTGACCTAAACTACCCAGACATCTGCTGGGAGGAGCAGTCAGCCAGGTCTGACCACTTACATAGGTTCCTAGCCGAGATACATGACCTCCACCTAACCCAGGAGGTGCATAGTCCCAACAGGGGAAATGCCTTGCTGGACTTGGTCCTTGCCACAAGCAATGACTTGGTGAGGGGTCTGCCAGTACTCGATGACCGGGGCGACAGTGATCATCGCCTGCTGGAATTTACTATCCAGCAGAGGGTGGTGAAAGCAAGCAGCAAGGCAGAGGTCCTCGACTTCAGGAGGGCTGGCTTCTGTAAGTTAAGGTTAGTAGGAGGGCATTGGGGTCTCGGAGCTTCAATGGCATGGGAGTCCAAGACAGGTGGTTGTTCCTCAAGGAGACAATCTTCTGAGCTCAAAGGGAGTCAGTCCTAATGCGCATCAAGGCGGGCAGGAGTGCTAAAAGCCTAAAATGGCTCAGCAAAGGCATCCAGGGATGCCTGAGGGCAAAAAAGGAGGCATACATACAGTGGTAGCAAGGGGCTATCACCAAGGAGGATTACACCTCCCTTGCTTGGGACTGCAGGGAGGCTGTTAGGAAGGCCAAGGCTAAGATGGAGCTAGGGCTAGTGACCAGAATTAAGGATAATAAAAAGTCCTTTTTCAAATACATAGGAAGTAAGAAGGCGGCACCGGGTACTGTGGGGCCTTACAGGATAGGCTTGGCAATCTGGTGATTGCAGCAAACAAAAAAGTTGACCGCTTTAATGAATTCTTTGCCTCCATATTCCTGAACAGGGACAAGACATTTCCCCCACTGGAATTGTGGATAGACCCGGGGGTGGCACCGACATGTCTAGAGTCAGGGACGACCTACTTAGGGAACTTCTGGAGGGGCTGGACATCTTTAAATCAGTAGGTCCAGATGCTCTTCACCCGAGGGTGCTGAGGGAATTGGCGGGGGTCATAGCGGGGCCCCTGGCACAGCAATATGAGCACTCGTGGGGCACTGGCCAGGTACCAGAGGATTGGCAAAGGGCCAATGTGGTCCCCATTTACAAAAAGGGAAGAAAGGAGGACCCCAGCAGTTATAGGTCAATCAGCCTTACCTTGGTCCTTGGGAAGACCTTTGAGAAAATTATCAAAGAGCACATCTGCAAGGGCCCAGCAGGGGTGGTAATGTTCAGGGGCAACCAACATGGGTTCACTGAGGGCAGGTCCTGCCTGACTAACCTGGTTTTATGATCAGGTCACAAAGTCCCTGGATGAGGGTGTCGGGGTGGATGTCGTCTTCCTGGACTTTAAGAAGGCCTTTGACATGGTTTCCCACCACATTCTCTTAAAAAAACTAGGTGACTGTGGCACTGATGCCTACACAGTCAGATGGGTGGCAAACTGGCTAGATGGTCGCACCCAGAGAGTCATGGTGGATGGGTCATTTTCGACCTGGAGGGATGTGGGCAGTGGAGTCTCTCAGGGCTCGGTCCTGGGGCCTGTACCGTTCAACATCTTTATCAGCGATCTGGATGTGGGTGTGGAATGCACAGTGCCCAAATTTGCTGACGACACCAAGTTGTGGGGTGAGGTGGGCACGCTGGAGGGGAGGGACAGAATCCAGCTAGATCTAGACAGGTTACAGAGGTGGGCGGATGAGAATAGGATGGAATTCAATGCAGACAAGTGCAAGGTACTGCATCCAGGGAGAAGGAACCTGCAACATACCACTAGGCTGGGGAACACCCTTCTTGTCAACATGGTGGCAGGAAGGGATCTTGGAGTCACTGTTGACTCCAGGATGAACATGAGCCGCCAATGCAAGGAAGCAGTCAGTAAAGCTAACTGCACCTTGTCGTGCATCTACAGATGCATCACAAGCAGGTCCAGGGAGGTGATCCTTTCCTTCTATGCGGCATTGGTCAAGCAGCTGGCTTGGGGCTCAAGTCATTATAGAGCCTGTAGCGGATGGAGTGTGTGCAAAGCACAGAGCACACAGGGCTGGAGAGCCCGGCGCTAGAGGGGAGCAGCCACACAGGGGCTGGAGAGCCTAGGCCTGACACCGTGAGCATAGGCTAGAAGGCCTAGCCAGATTAAAGGGGCAGAGGCTGAGTAGGCCGAGGCCCCAGCAGAGTGGACAACATCTGTGTAACACCCGCAAGGCATGGGGCATGGTATAGGGAAGGCTTGGAGCCACACATTTAGCCCATAAGGCTTAAGGCGCCCCATGAGGCACCACCTTGGAAAAACCCCAAAGACAAGTGTGTTCTAGTGGGGTTCAGCA